AACCCAGCCCCTTAACTCAACCCCTTAACCCAACCCCTTAACCCAACCCCTTAACTCAACCCCTTAATCCAACCCCTTAATCCAACCCCTTAACTCAACCCCTTAACCCAACCCCTTAACCCAACCCCTTAACTCAACCCCTTAATCCAACCCCTTAACCCAGCCCCTTAACTCAACCCCTTAACCCAACCCCTTAACCCAACCCCTTAACTCAACCCCTTAATCCAACCCCTTAATCCAACCCCTTAACTCAACCCCGTAATCCAACCCCTTAACCCAACCCCTTAACTCAACCCCTTAATCCAACCCCTTAATCCAACCCCTTAACTCAACCCCTTAACCCAACCCCTTAACCCAACCCCTTAACTCAACCCCGTAATCCAACCCCTTAACCCAACCCCTTAACTCAACCCCTTAACCCAGCCCATTAACCCAGCCCCTTAACCCAACCCCTTAACTCAACCCTTTAACCACTACCCCACACTTGGTCTCCATCCACCCATGAGGTAGGCAATGTTCTTTTATACATTTCACGCCCAAGCAAAACGCCTCCATCTTCCACTTGGAGCACCAGGTCACTTCTAGACCTTGGTAGGAGTAGACTTCCAAGTTTCTGGCTTGGGTGTGCTTTCTGGAGAAGCCAGTCTCCCCCTCATCTCCGGGGTGTGGAGTAGGCATGCCTGATGCCGAGGGCTGCCCCCGCATGTCGCATGCCACGAGCCTCCGTGTTTCCACAGTAACCGAAGCAGCAAAGCATTAGAGAGGCTTGTAATTAGATCTACGGCCACAGCTGTCAATCCTCGTTTAACAGCCTTGCATTTAACTCCTGGCTCCAGTAATTAGGGTTTACTAAACAGAATGTCAGGCAATTAGAACAGCAGGTCAATAGCTTTCCATGTCACCTCTTTGAAGGCAAGATGGGAGCCCTCCTGCAGGAACGCCAGTCCAAGGGCAGAGGCACCCTAGGCAACCTAGCAGAGGAAGGGAAAGTGGATACACCACCCCAAGGCTGAACTCATCACTGGTTGGAGCGGAGATGCCACATTTGTCCCCCAAGGCCACAGGGTATTGGATGAATATTGTCCATGCGTTGGCGTATGAGAGAGTCAACAGAGAGACCTTGACCTTCAACAGTTCACTCAGTGACTGTCCAAAGTTACAACGGTGCCAGGAGAACCCAAAGGTGCTTTTTTTCAAGAGGCCGCTGGACTGCCTGGTTTGTCTCGGAAGACGTTTTGCTTCTCATCCAAGAAGCTTCTTCAGATCAGAACTAGAAAGGGAGAGTTCATGCTACAATTTAAAAGTAGAAAGTTGAGGTTGGGTGTTACTGTCTTATTCTGCTGCACTGAAGGGAGTCAGAAGTCAGTGCCTTTTCGTCCTTTTTCCCTTCTTCTCTGCACTCTTCCTTCCCCTCTCCTTCCTGTTCCTCTTTCTGTTTGTTTTCGTATTTTTGTAGTTTATTTTATATTATAAATAGAAAAAGGAAGGAAGGAAGGAAGGAAGGGAGACAGAAACAAAGAAAGAAAGAAAGGGAGGCAGAGAGAAAGAAAGAAAGAAAAAGAAAGAAAGAACGAAAGAAAGAAAGATGCTATAATAACACTGACTAAATCAATTAGAACCATTGTAAGAAAAGCAATTTGATAAGAGATGGGAAACATTATGAATTCNGTTTCCTGCCTAAGCAGGGGGTTGGACTAGAAGACCTCCAGGGTCCCCTCCAACTTTGTTATTCTATTCTATTCTATTCTATTCTAAAAGGTTGAAGGAAGAGACAATCATTTTCTTTACCTGCCAACTTCAAGATCGGCTGCCCAACCGAGGCAATACAATCATATCAGATCAGGAGGTCAACATCTCAAAGGTTGAGCCTGGCCACTTATCCTCTTGATCTTCTGGAGACCATCCCATCACCAGGAGGACATGGTCGTATTCCAGAGATGGCGAACCTTCTTGGCACCGAATGCCCAAACCGGAATGACCGGGCATGTGTGTGCCTGAGCTGGAGTGCTGGAAACCCCAAACACCAGCTAACTGGCACATACGTCTGTTTTTTGAGCATTTGGGGGGCATTTTTTTGGCATCTTTTGGGCATTTTCAAGCTGTTTCGGGGCCATTTTCAGGCCAATTTTCAGCCTTTTTCAGGCCAAAAACTGCCTAAAAAAGGGCCCCCAAACAGCTCCAAAATAGCCTGAAAATGGCCCCAAAACAGTCTGTTTTTTGGCCATTTGGGGGGCTGTTTTCAGGCAGTTTCCTGGTGCTCTGGGACCCATGAAGACCAGCTAGTGGGCGCTCCCTGGAATCCAGAAGAGCAGTTGATGACGGCACGGGTGCCCACAGAGAAGGCTCTGCGTGCCACTTCTGGCACTCGTGCCATAGGTTCACCATCCCTGACCTTCACCATTTATAGTTACTGTACAGCTAGTCCTCCACTTACAACAGTTCATTCACTGACCGTTCAAAGTTATATCACTGGAAAAAAGTGACTTATAAGCATTTCCCCCCACACTTATGACTGTTGTAGCATCCCCAGGGCCACGTGATCAAAATTGAGACCCTGGACAAGGGACTCCTACTTACGACGGTTGAAGCGTCTCAGGGTCAAACTGGGAGCCACCCACCTCTGGTGTGCGCAGTTGTGTGCCCCCTTTTCTGTGTCTTTCCTGGTCTTCATCTGTGCAACCTTTTTCTACCCCCGTCCCAGTGTTGGTGAGCCCAGCTTTAACCGCATCGTGCCTCGCACCAGCCGGGGAAATATTTCTGTCTGAAAACGTTCGCCAACGTCTGTCATTCAGGACAGACCACAGCGAGGAAGACAAGACAGAAGCATCGTCTGAATCAAAGGCAGCAAAGATGAAATAATAAGAAAGGTTCTGGATTGTGCTGAAATGGACAAGCTAACTAAAGAAATCCAGGGAAAAGAAGAATCAGAATTC